TAAAAAAAAAAAAGGAAGAGGTAGGGTCAAAGCTGGTGTGCCTTGCGTGCGTGGCCACATGTTAGTTACCACATGCCTGTCTCCCACGGTAGGCAGAGTGCCCAGACACAATATGGAGGCCCTGAGTTCTCTGCCGTTTGGAGCTCATCCTGGCAGCTTCTGCGGGCCGCGGCCAGATGCCTGTGTACAGGTGTTATTGTATTTGCCGAGGGATGAGTGAAGGAAGGAATGGCCAACTCTTCCAGGGCAGGCCCACCAGCCCTCACCAGATTGCCAGACATGTCTGTTGTTTTGCATTTTAACTGAGAAGCGGTTCAGGTCCACTCCTATGATCTCAGCCCTGAGCACTTCGGAGCCTGAGGCAGGAGGATCTGGAGTTTGAATCGGTTTGAGCAGCATAGTAAGGCTTTGTCGCAAACAGGAGCTGGAGAGATGGCTCAGTGGGTAAGGGCCCCTTTGCTGCTCTTCCAAGTACTGAGGTTCAGTTCCCAGCCCCTGAAACTGGTCATTCATAACCACCTGTAACTCCAGCTGCAGAGAGATCTGCTGCTCTCTTCTGGCCTCCACAGGCACCCCAAACCCTACCCCATACACACAGAGAAAAGCTACAAAGGTGTGAGAGAGGCTGAGGAGGCAGCCTCCTGCTTGGCGGTGGGAGAAGGAAGGATCGCCGTGCCCAGGACCCCTCTCTCCCTCAGCCCAGGTGTGGTGCCAGCCTGCTCTTGGTTTGGCCTCAGCCTTCAGATTCTTCACTGAGTGAGGTGGTTTCCACCCAAGGCCCAGAAGAGCCCAGGTCAGAGCTGATACCTTAGTGGTCTGACATGCTGCTTTTTTTGAAAGAGGGGAAATTGAGGCCCAACTCAGGCCAGGGCCTTGCCCAGGGTCACACGCAGCAAGATGGTGATTGGCGTGACAGTCTGAACCACGGCTGTGGCCCCTGGCCCAGGTGAAGCCATCACGGAGATAACAGAAGGCTGAAGCTAACGGCACTGAGAGTCTCTAATGATTGCTCTGCCTGGGGCTTGGCAGACTGTCAGGAGATGGGGGTTGACTGGCCTGGCCCTGCCACACTTACCCCTCCAGGCTGGGCCTCACTGCTTGGTTTTGGTCCTGGTCCTGAAGGACTTCCTTGGTCTAGGTTGGCCCTTAGCTCTGTCCTTTGGTCTTTGCGACCTTGGCCCAGCGTCATTTTGTAGACCCCTTATCCACCCAGAGGAAGCTAAGGCCCTTGCAGAGTATGAGTGACGCTGTCCCTCCCCCAATCAGCACAGAGCTGGCTGAACCCCAACACCTGGGAGCCATATAGCGCAGCAGGCCGCAGGCTCCTCTGCTCTCCTAAGGGAAGCCCCTTGTGTTCTCTGTTTTCCCGATCATTCAGAAGCTCTGGTCCCCACTCTGTGTTGTTGTAGGCTTACTTCACAAAGACTAGCTGGGACCAGCTGTAGGACAGACAGAGAAGCATCCTGTCTGGGCCTCGTGGGTAGGCTGGTACTGGGGTCTGACCAGCATGTACTGAATTGGAAGGAAGTATGGAAGCCATAGCTCTAGGGCCAAGACCAAGCTGGGGAGGGAGGGAGGCACAAGGAGAGAGGCCATAGGGTGGGATAACTAGGTCCTGGGTTTCCTGGGTGCCCCAGCACTTCTAGTAGTGTGTGCATGAAGTTTAGGGTCTTCTGAAAGAGATGGGCTAGTCTGAGACCTTCTCAGCAAACAAGGAGCCTGAAGGCAATGGTGCCGCTCTCCAGTGGCCACTGCTGAGGCCTGGGTCTGTTCTGGGCGTGACAGGACTAGTAGAGTGCCAGGCTGGGGTGGGGCCTCTCTTCCTCACAGGCCTACAGAGGGGCCCTCATGCCTCAAGGCCCCCACTTCCCTTTTCTGAGGACACCAGGGCCCCAAGCCTTCTGCAGCTCCATACTTGCTGAGGAAGCTGGACTGGGGTTCCTGCTGGTTCTGTCTAGGGAAGGAAGTGGGTACAAGTTTGGGTGGTTTACAACATGGGGCGGCAGGCTCCCCTGGGGGGAGCTCCCAGACAGCCTGAAGGCCCAGCCCTGTGCCAATCTGTGATGTGCCAGCCCCCTGCCTTCTGTCACCGCCTTCTTACTCAGGAACATGGACACCACGGGTCAGGATTGGCGAGGAGATCTCAGCCCTGCCAGGGATACTGGAAAGGAATGTGTGTGGCTCAGTGGGCTCCCGCGCAGCACCCCTCCCGGATCCTGCTGCTGGGCCTTGCCCCCGTCCCTGTAGGGCAGAGGGAAGTGTCTGATGACCTCCATTTAGCCACTACTTTTTTTTTTTTTTTGTTATGCCATGTTGTCCTGCTTTATTGGATAGGGATAGGAAAGGGGTCGGCATTTTGAGGTATTAGGAGTTTTTAACGAGGGTGAGAAGCAGGATGAGGAGTGGGCTGTGCGTGGCTTGTGTTCAAATCACAGCTTTCTGTCTCATGAGCTGTGTGACTGTGGTGATGGTCGAGCCTCTCTGTAGCTCATTTCCCACACCCAGAAAATGGGAACAGTGGGCCTACAGGCAGGTATGCAGACTGAAGGGCAAGGCTTCTCACTGGGCCTGGAGCACTTTTTTCTTTTTTGTTTTTGACAGGGTTGCCGATCACAAAGCCCCAGAGATCCACCTGTGTCTGCCCTCAGGGTTGGGTTTTCAGGAGTGTGAAAGACCACACCCAGCTTTTTACATTTAAACTCAGGTCCTCGGGCTAACTTGCAGGTGCACGCTTGCACGGTGCACGCTCTTGCCCGTTGAGGCATCTCCTCAGCCCAGCTGCTGGAGTCTTGGATTCCTCTGCTCTGCTAGCTATTCCAGGGGCCGAATCAGAGCCCTGGGTGGGCTGAATCCCTGTGCCCAGTGCATCCTATCGTCCACTTCCATCCCCAGCCGCCGTTGCCTGGGAAGTGGTCTAATTAGATCCACAAATAAAAATGTTTACCAGGCCTGGTTTCCCATGGGTTCAGGGGTGGGGGCTCTTGCAACAATGCCTCAGCCTGGCTCTGTGCTTGGGGAGGCGGGTCATGTCTGGGGCCAGAGGAGGCATGCGCATGTGTTGGAGCGTGCACGTGCGTGCCCTCACACCACACACATGTGTCCTGGTTGCCCACAGCCTGGCTTTGCCTAGAGAAGTGGCTCTGGAGCTGCCTCAACCAGTGGTGTCTGGGGTTTCTCAGTCCAGCAGTCCCTGCCCACTGGTGTTTGGCACTGAGCCAGAGGGCCAGGCAGGACTGCAGTTTGTGTGCCTGTGGCATTTGGTTTTGTCCCCTAGAGTGGCAGTGGAGAAGCCTGGGCCCAGGAGCTGTGGTTTGAGTCCCAGCCCTTCTGGCAAGCACCTCCAGCTGTGTGATCTTAGGCTAGCTACTGTGCCTCTCTGGGCTCAGCTCTGCAGCTGTTAGCAAGGGGCTGGATGTGTGCGCGGTGACTGCAGAGCTGGGCACCACTCAGGATGGGCCTTGTCCTGTCCTGCAGCCCACAGCATAGGGCTGGGCACATACAGGTGGCGCTTAGTCGTCTCTTCCTGTGGATTCCAGAATGGCCTGCCTAGATATAGAGGAGGCAAACTGCCAGCCTTCAGGAGGCAGTATTCTGCTAGCTAGCAGTTTACAATCTGCCTAAGACTGCAGGCCTTGGGAAGCCTGGGCTCATGAGCAGGACCCGGACTAGATAGGTACTTGCCGACACCTGCTTGGGTATAGTCCCAAATCCCTAGGCTTGCCCCCTGCTGTGTCTGGGCCTGTGCTAAAGGCAGAGGGAGGCGGAGCTGGAGGAGCCTACAGGGACTTCCCAGCAGCGGGCAGGAGTAGGCTCCCTGGGACCCTGTACTTCAGCCACCGAGGGTTTTGTTTCCTCCTGGACGCTTTTCTTTGGAGCATCTACTGGCAGCTGGCTGTTTGTGACCCCTTTGAGTTTTTGTATGTCTAGCAGCCTGCCTACCCTGTACCCTCTACCCTGTCGTCCCAAAGTGAGGCATACTAAAGGGGATCACCAGTTCCTGGTACAAGATGGCTCTTTTATAAGAGGCTTCTATTGCAATAGGGCAGCTGCCTTCAGGTGGAGCCTGTGTGGTTCCTTTGTTTTTATTTCTCCTCTTGGAGGTTGGAAAGGTCAGCCTGTGTATAAGTTGGGGTTCTCTAGAGCAGTGGTTCTCAACCTGTGGGACCTGCCCCCTTGAGGTCGAATGACCCTTTCAGAGGGGTTACAAATCAAATACCATGCATATCAGATACTTACATTACAATTCACAACAGTAGCAAAATTATAATAATTATAATAGTAAGAAGCCTGAGCTACTAGGTCAATCAGTTTATAATGAATGTAGACCTCTGTGTGTTTATTTGGGACTAAATGGCTGTGGGACCTGATGGGATATAAACCAGGTCCCACAGCCATTTGGCCTAGTATCTCAGGCTCTTCTTATTAACTAATTATGGGGACAGAACATACCATCTCACCTGATATGGCCGGTGGCTCCTACTGAAGCCCGGGGAACCAAGGAAGGCTGAGCTACAAGCTGTGTGGAGATCACTAGGGAGCCACCTAGAAAAAGAAAAACATGTGGCCCAGCCTCCATCATACAGACGATGCTGGGGAGTCAGTCACCAAACAGGAAGTGGCTTAGTCGGGCTTTGAGTGCCCGTGTGCCGTGCTGGTCTCCAGGGCGATGAAGGTACTGTGGGTCTGTGCCATCCAGGGCAGTGCCCACAAGTTACGTGCACCTGTGCCCTTAGTAAGTGACTAGCATAACGGGGCTGGGAGTTTCCTTAGACAGGGTCTTGTTATCTAGCACAGGGTGTCCTCAAACTTACAACCCTCCTGCCTCAGCCTCCTTAGTACCGCTACACCTGGCTTCTACAATGCCATTTCTAATGACTCTGAATTCACACATGCCCAGGTACTGTCCGAATATGGCTCCACCTCGCCCTCATGTCCCCCCCCCCCCTTCCCTAATTTGTTCCGTGGACTTCAAGTGTTTTTGTTCTGCTTTGTCTCCACAGATCTGAGGACCCGGAAGGTCCTGTCAGCCCATCCCAGACACCCCGAAGACACCAGTGACCAAGACTCAGTGGCTGCAGCCGGTGCCATGTGCCCATGGAGCTACAAGCTCTGGGTGCCTCTGCCCAGTCCTGACTGCTAGGCCTCAGAGAAGTCAGAGGCCTAGGCCACATTCAAGAGTGTCAGCAGACAGATGTATCTCAGGCCGTGGGGCTCCTAAGCAGGCCGCTGGACCAGGCCACTGGGGAAGAAGATGCCAGCCAAGGGGCGTTACTTCCTCAATGAAGGTGACGAGGGTCCCAACCAGGCAAAGCTCTATGAGAAGTACCGCCTCACCAGCCAGCATGGGCCACTGCTGCTCTTGCTCCTCCTGGTGGCTGTGGCCGTCTGCGTGGCGCTCATCAGCATCACCTTCAGTCATGAGGTAAGCCCCCCACCCCAGGGCATTCTGGCCCTCCTGCTCGGATGGGAAAGCTTTGGCACGAGGGTCCCTGTCTGAAGCTTCATTTTCTTCTTTTGTGAACTGCTAGGTGGATGAAAAACCAGTCAATTTGAATTTGATCTTGAAGTCTGATTGATTTTAGTTATTATATTAATTGTATGAAATCACCCTCAGTTTTTTTTTTTTCACCATGAAATTCAATCTCTTAAAAGATCTGAGTCAAGGCTTGTATGTTCCTTGCTTCCCTTATCTGACCACAGCAGACATCACCAATCAGTCCCTGTATTCCTTTCTGAATCTGGTTATGATCTTGGAATTTTTTTCCTTTACCTCATCTTCCTCCTCCTTCCCTCACTTCCCCTTCTCCTTCTTTTCCTCTTCTTCCTCCTCCTTGCCATCTTATTTTTTCTTTTTTAAGGACAGGGCCTCATTATGTAGCCAAGGCTGGCCTTGAATTCATAGCCTCTTAAACGCTGGCATAGGGTCCTTGCCACTGTCAGAGCAGATGGCATCTCTCCTGACCTGTGCCTTTGCTCTACTGCAGCCACTAGCCATGTGCCGTTGTTGGTCACTTGGCATATGACCAAGAGAGAACCTGGTTTTGGTTTTTCTTCATTTTCTTGCTGATTGTTGTAAATGCAGTCAGAAGTTCCTGAAGTGATATCAGAGGCTGCAGGCAGTTCTGTGCTGGCAGCCAGTGCCCTGGTGGAGTGGAAAAGGGACAGCTGGACCTTACACCCAGAGGCAGCGGGTGCATCTGCCCTCGTGACACCCAGGATCTTCTGGGTCCATCTGTCATGTGGATCCTCATCCCCACCTGCACCTCTCCTTCAGTGCCGCCTCTGTGTGGGGTGCCCGTGTTGGGACTAATGAGTCCTGGCCTTCAGCTGTTCTTCCCTGCTAGAACCTTCTAATTGAAGTTACTAGAAGCTGTGCCTAGCTTAGAGGATCAGAGGATGGGATTTTCACCTGTTGGCCATTGACTGCAGTGTATTTAAGCCTTCATGGTGCTATTAAAGAGGGGCTTTTTGGTACCGGTGTTGAAAGGTCTGCATGTTGGTCTGTCTCTGCGTGTGTTTCTTCAACCTCCAGCCCCTTTCCCGGAGCTTGAGAACTGGGGTCTAGCGCATAGAGCGCAGACCGGGCCCACGGTGCATGGCATGCCTGCTCTTTGTGTCCCCCCAAAAACCAGTTCTTTAGTCAGTCTCTCCTCCCGGACTTAAGCGAGGCTTTACCTGAGGAAAACCATGTTCTGGCTCTGTGGTTGCACCTGTCCCCCACAGGGGAGCAGTGGTCTCTTAGGGCAGAGTGGGGGTGCTCAAGCTGTTGCAATGGCTGGGATTACATGAATGGCATTACACGCAGGCCTCAGGTTATGGGGAGACCAGTGTCAGGGGAGCCCAGCACTGTTGTGTGGAAGGGACTTGAAGTGATTGTGGGTAGATTTCTGGAGGAGCGGGTGCTCCACTGGAGAAAGTCAGGGTACTCTCTGTTTGCTCTACCCAGGATCCCCCGAGGCACAAGGCTCTCCTGGGCACCGCGTTCTTCCTGCTGACGCTGTTCGTGGCTCTCTACGTGCTGGTATATGTTGAATGCCTGGTGCGGCGGTGGCTGCAGGCCTTGGCTCTGTTCACCTGGCTCTGCCTCATGCTGCTCGGCTCCGTGCTGGTGTGGGACTCCTGGAAGAACGAAGCCTGTGCGTGGGAGCAGGTAACGGTGGGAGTCAACGTCACTGGGCTTGGGTGCGGCAGCTTCTGTCCGCTTGCGGCCTTGGGGTTTGTGGGAGTATGCTGTGGTCTCCCTGCAGGCTAGGGCACTGGGTTTAAGATGGCCTCAAGCTGACTCTCTTCCCAGAGTGCCACCTTGGACCTGTTTGATTAAAGATGACCAAATTTGTATTGCAACTCAAGAAGGCAAAAAAGCACCTATGGGTTCAAGTGTCAGGAAGAACCGAGTAGGACTAGCCCTTGCTCCAGTAGCTTTGGCCCCTTTGGACCCCCTCTCCTCTAGGTTACTTTGTTCCTGAGCAGCCTGTCCCCAGCTAGAGGCTGAGATGGCTGTTCACTCAGTAGGACAGCCGTGCCACGTGACAGCTGGAGACCTTGGTTGAGCTGCACCAGCCTGGCCTGGTTAGTCACAGTTGCCTTCAAGTGGCATCCTCTGAGCGCAGCCTGTGCCATTTTCTTTTTGTTTTTCGAGACAGGGTTTCTCTGTGGTTTTGGAGCCTGTCCTGGAACTAGCTCTTTTAGACCAGGCTGGTCTCGAACTCAGAGATCCGCCTGCCTCTGCCTCTCGAGCGCTGGGATTAAAGGCATGCGCCACCACCGCCAGGCAGCCTGTGCCATTTTCTGTGATTGGGCGGGCTCAGGCTGTGATTGGGTGGGCTCAGAAGGTGTTTGGGCGGGATGAGGCTATGATTGAGTGAGCTCAGGATTGGGCGGGCTCAGGCTCATGAAACCATAGACAGGCAGGGCTGGAGTGGGAGGCTACAAGCGACCCTGGCCCATCCCAGCCTTCCAGTGGTTATCAGGCCAGCAGCTGAGCTCAGTGACACAGAGGCTCAGTATTCAGGTGATGAGCAAGGCACTTTAGGTCTCCCTGTCCTGTTGTGTGTCTGTTCCTGTGTCTCACACCATGTAGGGGAGAGATGAGAGATCCCAGGGTTGGGATGTCCCAGGTGCCGAGAGGCTGAGGACCTCTCCTCCTACGTGGTCCTGGGCCATGTTGACTCTTGGGGTGCACTGTCCTCCAGGTGCCGTTCTTCCTGTTCATCGTCTTTGTGGTGTACGCCTTGCTGCCCCTCAGCACGCGGGCAGCCATCACAGTGGGGATGGTCTCCACTGTCTCCCACCTCCTGGTGTTTGGAGCTGTGACCGGAACCTCCAAGACGGCCATGTCTGGCGCACAGCTGGGACTGCAGGTGAGGGAGGGCTACGGAGGCTGGGTGGGGGCCCGGCTCCAGCCTGGTGGAGGTTGAGCTTGGGGGCTGTGGATGCAGGCAGGGCCCCATCTTGTCTGCTTTAACTGCTGCTCTAGGATATTCTAGACTCAGGCCCTAGCTGTGCTCAGGGTCCTGCCCTGAGTGTCTCTCCCTAGGACCCTGACCTAGGGTCTTAACACCCCGGTCTTGGTATATTCACTCTGTTGAGTAAGTGTGCCCCCAGTTCACATCATTGGGGTGCAGGGAATTGTCATCTTTCTGACTGGCCTAAATGCCACTTCTGGGGGAGAGGTCAGAACTCTGGGCAGCCAGATGGGTTCTGTACCTACTGTGGCTGGGTTCAGAGCTCAGTGAGGTAGCCAGCATCTCCTTGGAAGTACTTGGCATCCCTTGACTGGTACCATCCAGGGATAACGGATAGAGCATGTTGTCTGGTGGGGCAAAGAAGGCCCAAGTTCTGGTCCTGTGGTCATAGCAACTCACTAGGGAATCAATTGCCACCTGGACCTCAGTTTTCTGCCGAACCCAGGGAAAAACAACCTGAAGAGTATTTGGGTCAGGCAATGGGGGACAAATGCCACCATGTCTGCTGTGGGGGGCCATGCTGAGCAAGTGCACTGGCTGGACCATACTGAGCCTTGCTTGCCCTCGGCTGCCCTCAGCTTCTGGCCAACGCCATTATCCTCCTGGGCGGGAACTTCACGGGGGCCTTTCACAAGCACCAGCTGCAGGATGCTTCCCGGGACCTCTTCATCTACACCGTCAAGTGTATCCAGATCCGCCGGAAGCTGCGTGTGGAGAAACGCCAGCAGGTAGGGACCTACGTCCTCTCTTCCCTTCTCCCCGACTGCTGTGGACCCCACCTTGTCCTGCACATGTGGCCCATGTGGCTGGTGCCTTGAGGGTCTCAGTCCTCAGAGCTTTGACAGGGACGGCAGGTGCTCTGTCAGGGCGACCCTGTGTACATATAACCCATCAGGAAACAGTGTCGTCACAGGTAGAGTCCGTGGGAAGAAGTGTGAGGTGCAGGTGGCTGGCCGGGGCCTGGGGATGCTCTGCCTGCCTCCACTGTCCGCCCACTGGTCTGCCCTTCTGTGCCTAGGAGAACCTGCTGCTCTCGGTGCTGCCAGCCCATATATCCATGGGCATGAAGCTGGCCATCATTGAGCGCCTCAAAGAGGGCGGTGACCGCCGCCACATGCCTGACAACAACTTTCACAGCCTCTACGTCAAGCGGCACCAGAATGTCAGGTGGGCAGGGCTCGGGAAATGGTGTCCTTTGAGAATAAGGCCACCACTCCCCTTTCCCTGGGCAAATAGCGCTCTGTTGGGAGCCTCAGTCCACGCGGTTTGGCGGTCAGCTACTTTCTTGGGCCTCAGTTTCTCTTTGTTTCCTCCCTCTTTCTTCCCTTTTTTCTTTCTTCCTTTTTTTTTTTTTCTGGAGTTGAGAACTGAAACCAGAGCCCTGCGCTTGCTAGACAAGCACTCTACCACTGAGCTAAATCCCCAGCCCCTCTCCTTGTTTCTTCATGGGGCGAATCAGATCAAGGCTCTCAAAGGGCTAGGGTGGTATTAGGGGAAGAAGATCCAGTGTCCCCCCCAAAATCAGAGCAGGTCATGTGAATTAGCCAGACAATTGGGTGAGGAGAGGGGCATTTCTGATGATTCTCCCTAAAGGAGGTGCACCCCTGAGCTTGCTGACCGGGTGCCCCTGTCCTTACCTGGCCGTACTGATTTGAGAGGTGCAGGATCTCTTGTGGGGTGTACTGTGGCCACTTTGAACTCTGAGTCTCTGCCTGAGGGCCAGCGTTATGTCCCAGCAGACATCTTTTAGTACAAGTCAGGGCTACATCTACTGCCTGGGGTCTCACAGGATAAGGAACACAGCGAGGCCTAAGGGCTTTGCCACCTACCTCCCCTGACCTCAGCTTGATTCTTTCAGGGCCTGGGGAGAATAGGAGAGAAGGGAGAGTTGTATTCCCGGAGTTGAGGTCTCTTGGCTCTCTGGGTGCAGGGGCAGGGAGAGGGGAGGGTGCTGGGATCTGAGTGTAGGTAGTGTGCTCTGTCCTGTTGTAGTGAGAGGCCTCCGGAGCTAGGATGGGTCAAGCTGGCCAGGAGCATCTCTTCTGGCCTTTGGGACTGATGGGGGCAGAGACAGGGCCGCCTCCCCAGGGATCTGATCCAAGCTCTGTCCACCCGGACTAGCATCCTGTATGCAGACATCGTGGGCTTCACGCGGCTGGCCAGTGACTGCTCCCCCAAGGAGCTGGTGGTGGTGCTCAATGAGCTGTTCGGGAAATTCGACCAGATTGCCAAGGTGAGCCTGGGCATGCCGTCAGCCCATCGCTGCGGTCACAGGACATCATGTGCTGCGTGAGCTGGGAGTGGATGGGAGGCAGGGGCTAAGGGCTACTGTCTGTGGGTAGGAGGTGATTTCTGTGTATCCCTGTGAGCGGGGTGCCAGGGTACATCCGCCTCAGCAGATGTAGAACAAGGCCGAGTGCGTGCCCGGAGTGTTTATGGGTCCAGAGCAGATGGTGACTTAGACTTGCAATCTGCAAGTGGCTTTTAGTCTGGCAGCCTTGCCTTACCTTGGGGGTCTGGGAGCAGCCGGAATGCCCAGCCTCACTCAGAGTCTCGGCTCGACAAAGTCTCAGGTGAAGTGTGCATATAAGAAAGCTTGAAGCCGGGCAGTGGTGGCGCACACCTTTAATCCCAACAGAAGCAGGTTGGATCTCTGTGAGTTTGAGGCCAGCCTGGTCTACAGAGTGAGTGCCAGGACAGCTAGGGCTGTTATACAGAGAAACCCTGCCTTGAAAAACAAAACCAAATGAAACCTTGAGAAGCCTTACAAAGGAACCCATGGCCTAGTATGAAGGCGCATGCCTTCAATCCCAGCACTTGGGAGGCAGAGCTGGCTGATCTGAGTTTGAGGCCAGTGGCGGGGAGGGGGCAGACAAAGACACTGACTCAGACCTAGGGAGGGAAGGGAAGCCTGTGGGGCAGGGGACAAGGCCTGGGGCAGACACAAAACTCTGCTCTGTGTGTGTCGAGCAGAGTATCGGGGAGATAGACGAGGATGTAGTGGCCTAGGCAGAGCAGGGTTTGTCCTTCTGGCACTGAGAAGCCTGGCATACCAAACAGGAATGGGTTTTCTTTCTTTTTAAAAAAATAATTTTTATTTTATGTGCCTTGGTGTTTTGCTTATATGTATTAGGTGTTAGGGGGCTGGATCCCCTGGAATTGGAACTACAGACAGTTGTGAGCTGCCGTGTGGGTGCTGGGAATTGAACCCAGGTCCTCAGAGCAGTAGGTGCTCTTAACCACTGTGCCATCTCTCTAGTCCTCCAATGCTCTTCTTCTAGGGCTGTGATGGCTCTGGTCTCCTGGGCCCTTCCTCCTCCTCCTGGGTAGACCTCCCAGTCGCATTGATTTAGTCCCAGCCTTCTGCTTGCATGGTCATTCCGCAGCTGCAGGGTTTGTATCTGTAGCCTACTGCTGTGTCCTAATACCTGGCCAGGTATACAGTAGGCACTCAAACATTACATAGGCAAATAAGAAAGACAGTCCCTCCTGCATGGTCCTTACTAAGCCTTGCTGATATCTGGGTTCCTGGCTGGGTCTCTCCAGGTCCTCTTGCCAGGCTCTGCTGCAGCAGCCTTGAAGGCCATTCACAGCAGGGAGGAGCCCAGCTGGCCCAGGCCTGCTCTGAGCATGCCCCTTGCTTGCTTACCCCGCAGGCCAACGAGTGCATGCGGATCAAGATCCTGGGTGACTGCTACTACTGCGTGTCGGGCCTGCCTGTGTCGCTGCCCACCCACGCCCGCAACTGCGTGAAGATGGGTCTGGACATATGTGAGGCCATTAAGTAGGTGCAGGTGGGCCAGGGCCCAGGAGCATGTCCCCCAGCCAAACTCCAAACCGAGGCGGGTGGGGTGTGAGCATGCCGTGTGGAGGACGCAGACTCCTTCTCTTGGCCTCCCTTCCTCTGGGCCCACCTGGGGCTTCAAGTTCCAGAAGCATCTGAAAAGCTGAGTTAGGCCAGGCGTGGTGGTGCACACCTTTAATCCCAGCACTGAGGAGGCTGAGGCAGGTAGATCTGAGTTTGAGGCCAGCCTGGTCTACATAGCAAGTTCCAGGACTACATAGAGAGATCCTGTCTCAAAAAACAAAACAAACCAAAATGAATGAAAAGCTGAGCTTGGGCAGCTGGGTTCCACACTTCCAAGGACTGAGATTGTAGGAGGAGCTCAGGACAGAAAGCAGAAGGCCTTCCAGAGGCGAGGTCCAGCTCTCAGACGCCATCAGCTTTCGGTTCCTCTGAGAAGCCTCTGGTGCCAGAGGGTATCCTCTCCATCAGCGGGTAGGCCTGGATCTTCTGGGCCCTTCTGCTGGCATTGGCATGTTGGTGAGGTACTCAGGGGAGAGCAGGAAGATTCCTGAGGTGGTGGTGGAGGTGGCCTGTCTAGGCAGCAGAGGAGGTACTCCATCCAATACCTCTTTGCCGTACCTCCAGAACTCTTCCCAAGTGGTAGGCATAGTCCACAGTGCAGACCCAGGATGCCTGCCGTGGGACCCGGCACGTCCCCATTCTGCATTGTGGAGAGGCAGCTTTTGCTCCTGCTGGCTTAGCCTTGGTAGCTTCAGCTCATCTGCAGCTGTAGTGGTGGATACAGGTGCTGGTCCCCTGGGCCCCTAACCACCAGCTTGCCTGAGGGGTATAGAGCTCTGCTCATGCCTGGGAAATAGGGGTGGTGCCACGTCCTGGAAGGCTCCACCCTGGGGGCTCCTTGTCCTGAATAGGGCTTTCATTTCCTGCAGGTGGAGTAGAGAAGCCCCCATAGTTCTTGTCTACTGAGTGTTGGGTAGGGCTTAGCATCCTCTACACCCTTGGCAGCCTTATCAAAACCAACCAGGGCTGCCCGGCAGGGGATACTTGGGACAGAAGGTGGCGCACCAGCATAAATAGCATCCTAAGTCCTTTTCTCTTATTACACACCCTTGAGTGGGTGTGAGCTTACACACTCCCAAGGATGGAGTTCTTGACCTCCCTGAAGAGGAACCTCTGCCTCCCTCCTTGGTGCGTTGCCATACCCGAGACCTCCAGCGTGTTCCTGAACTGCTGTAGGTGACAGACCACTCTGCTCCAGGCAGGTGCGTGAGGCCACAGGAGTGGACATCAGCATGCGGGTGGGTATCCACTCCGGCAATGTGCTGTGTGGGGTCATCGGGCTTCGCAAGTGGCAGTATGATGTGTGGTCCCATGACGTGTCCCTGGCCAACAGGATGGAGGCGGCTGGAGTCCCTGGGTGAGTTTCAGCAGGGCAGAGGCCAGGCTGACCAGGGGTGGGTGCCTGGGCCATGCTGCCTTATCTGACTTCCATCTCCCCAGTCGGGTGCACATCACAGAGGCGACACTGAACCACCTGGACAAGGCGTACGAGGTGGAGGATGGGAACGGGCAGCAGCGCGACCCCTATCTGAAAGAGATGAACATCCGGACTTACCTGGTGATAGACCCTCGGGTACAAGGGCTCGGGGGTGGATGGGGGGATTGGGCAGCCTGGGAAAACAAGGTCCCAACTACTAGCAACTGACCCTCAAGGCTGTGGTGAGGTGGCAGAGACTAGGAAGTAGGAGGACACTTCCTTGAACTGGGCACATTCTAGGACACCAAGGAACAACCTGTTTGTGTTTCTGTAAGGAGGGGAGAAAGGACTGTGGGCACAGAGCGCCATATTAGTGCAGGCCCACGAAGCTAATTGCAGGAAGGTCTCTTTACCCCTGCAAAGACTCAGGGAAGCAGGGAATGGCCGGGCAGCCTGCTCCTGGAGCTTGCGGGACTGGGACTCTCAGGTGGCTCAAGTTGCCTCCTCTCGTGGAGCCAGGCTTGCTCTGGTGGCCCAACTGGAGAGGCTGCTGGGTTTCTCTGCTGACTGCTCCAAGCTGGCAGTCTGTTGCCTTTTGTTGTCTTTTGTTGTCTGTGGACTTAACCTCCTGAATCATCCATGGACTTTGCTCCAGAATGGTGGCAGGAGCGTCTTCCTGCTCTTGGTTCTGGCCCTTGGCTATGCCTGGCGGCAGCCTGCAAACCCACCTAACTCCCATTGCCTGTCTTGGTTACTCTGTGTCCACAGGGCAGCTCCCACATACAGGAAAATGCCTGCTCCTGGCCTTGTCCCCATGTAGTCTTGTTTATCCTTTTCCTTGTCATTCATGCCGTCCGAGACCACTGCCCCTCTAGCCCACAGATGGCCCAGCTCTGCTCTGAACATGTGCTTAGTGGCTTTGAAATAGATGAAGCCCCAACCTCAAAGACATCTGCAGGCGTGGTTCCAAAACCCACTCTGAGGGCTGCCAGCCTGAGCCAGCACAATTGCAGGATGCTGGTCAGACTCTGGCCAGGCTTCAGAGAAGCAGCAGCGTGTGTGTGTGTGTGTGTGTGTGTGTGTGTGTGTGTGTGTGTGTGTGTGTGTGTGTGCGCGCGCGCGCGTGTGCGTGTGTGTCACTGGCAGTGTGGGACTGTCGCTCTGCCTGGTCCCTCTCTCCAGCCTGTTCATCCATTTATTCACGTAGCTGGCAGTTGAGAGGGACCCGTAGGAGTTCCTCTTCTTTCTTGTCTTCAGCCAGCACGTGACCAGGGCAGCCAGCAGGAGAGGAGCCTCAGAGGGTTTAAAGAGGTTTCTATGCTCAGAGACTCTGGAAGTTTCCAGTAAATTTGTCACTGTGCTTTGGCCAGGTCTGGGGCTGTAGGAAGGCTGCTGCCTGTTGGTGTTGGCAAGTCTGAGGAGAAGGGCTCTGGAGGGAGTGTCTGAGATGTGGGGGGGCGAGGGAGGGAAGAGCCTCAGCAGACACAAGGTAGCCTAAGCTTGTCTGATGATCTTGGGGCTTTCTTTTCCTCTCTTGCTTCCAGCCATACCTGGCCGCCCTGACTGGCAAAGGCCCAGGCATGTGTTAAGGGGGCCTTAGGGCTCTGTTTCACTGGGACAGGAGGCAGAGCTGGACCCTCCCTGGGCCTGGGTAAACCACTGAGGCCCCAGGATGGTGCTGGGCCCAGCAAGTGTGTGGCAGATGGGCCTGGTGCTGAGCTGGGTGTGGAGTGGGCTGGCGCTTTTAGTAGCTGTGTCTCTTGAGTTCAGGCCAACACACATCTTCCTCTCATTGCTCTCACCGGAAGGAGCATGTGTGAACCACATGTGGGTGGGCGGGGCAGGGCTCCCGCTTACCCTTCCTCGAGGGTGGCTGAACCTGAGCTGTGCGGCCATCAGCCTCTTCCTGACTTGGGGCTTCAGCTGGTCCCCAGGGCACCCCACGCTTCAAGAAGAGGCTCAGAAACTTAATACTTTCCCCTTTAGCAGACCAGCCAGTGCTCCAGGCGTGCTCGCGTGCATGCCAGGGATGGTTGAGAGGGGAGCAGGCAGGACAGGTCATGTCTGTGTTTGCAGAGCCAGCAGCCACCCCCACCCAGCCATCACCTCCCCAAGCCCAAGGGGGATGCGACCCTGAAGATGCGGGCTTCAGTGCGTGTAACCCGCTATCTCGAGTCCTGGGGTGCAGCGCGGCCCTTTGCACACCTCAACCACCGGGAGAGTGTGAGCAGCGAGACCCCCATTTCCAATGGACGGAGGTCAAAGGTAGGTCCCCTCCCATCTGGTTGCTGAGTCAGGAGCCCTCGGAGAAGGGACAGGGAGCAAAAGGCTCTATCCCGCCCTTCTCTAGCTGCATTGTGGGTAGTCTCTGTCAAGCCTCCCTTCTGGACAGGAGGAAGTATTTGAAGAAGGCTCCAATGGGGCCTTGGAATATAATATCCTTGAATCTCCTGGTCCTTTTCCAGTCTGAGGAAAGAAAGCCAGACCCACGGGGGATGAGATTCAGTGTTCAGGGAGTGCTTACCTTCTCTTCCTTGCCCCTTTCAGGCCTCTTCACTGCGCCGACACCGTGCCCTTGCCAGGTAGGTGCACTGCCCTCCTGCACGCTGCTTACGGCCGGTGCTTTGCCAGGCTCCTCCTTGCAGGCAGGTGCCCCGACCAGTCTCTATCTGGGACAGCCCCTCCAGGCCCAGCCCAAGCCTCCACGGGTTTGCCAGGGCTCAGGTTTGTCTTCTCTGGGTACAGGACCCCGAGGTCCCAGGCTCTTTGACTGCTGTGTGCTACCCTAGGGCAGGGGCAGCGGGTTGCTGTGTGTGTTCTCTGGCTTCTGTGCTGATCTTCGCCCTAGCCAAGGTGGCCTTGGTCTAGGGGTTAGGGATGTGTCCTCTGCTTTTTTTTACTGGGCTGCTGGCTCTTCCCTTAACCCCTTTTATGAACTCAGGGACCCCACCAGATACCAGTAATCCTACTGGCAAGTCCAGCATCCATAGCCTAGCCTCTGGCCAGGTGGGCCCCTGGAGTGATGTAGCTGCGGCTCTAATTGTAGGAGTGCCTCCCCCAAGGGGCGCTTGGATGACGACTGTGATGACGAGATGCTCTCGGCCATCGAGGGGCTCAGCTCCACCAGGTGAGGCCTGTGATCTCTACCCTCCTCTCCCTCCCAAGGCAGGGCTGGTCCCTCTGCTAGACATTGAGCCCTGGCTGTGGCCTGTAGCTCCTTCCCTTGCCCCGGGGTTGTCGCCAAGAGTGTGGCCCTCTCCCGCCCTGCGGACTTTGTGCTGCTGTTCCCCCAGGCCTTGCTGCTCCAAGTCTGATGACTTCCACACCTTTGGTCCCATCTTCCTGGAGAAGGGCTTTGAGCGGGAGGTGAGATTCGGGCAGGTACCACAGAACCTGGTGGGTGGGGCATGGACTGCCGGGTCCAGCAAACGGCACAGGGTGGGGAGACCCATGGGGCGCTCTGAACTGACTGCTGGGTAGACGGGATTCTGCGCAGTCTCATTTGTGGCCATTCCCGTTGGCCTCCCCCCTTTACCTGACACCACCCAAGAGATTTGTCCCTGAGGTTTGGGGCAAGTGAGTGCTTAAGATTTTCAGGAGGATGCTATCCCAAATCCAGTCTCCTGGTTGCATACCTGTGGCACCTCCTGCCTGACTGCTGTGACACACTTTATACCCTATGGCTCCATAGGTCTAGAGCAACTCGTGGCTCCCTGCCGGTCTTGGGTCCATATCAGGATCGACTTTACCTTTTCTCCAGGCAGGTGCCAGATCCAGTTTAGACAGGAGCCTGCAGCTCACAGGTGTTGAAGCAGGTTGTCCTTAGCTTCATGGCCTCATGTGTCCAATATGAGGGGAGGAATCTTCTCCCTGGGGATCTGAGTAAAGTTACTGGGAAGAAAGCGGAGGGGGCTTCCCTTGGCTGTGGGTCACATGGCCCGAGTCTTGGTTGCTCCTCTACCATGGGAGCATGATGGTGTGGTCACAGAGTAGACACAGGGATCCCTACCTGTGTGTCCAGGGGCTAGGACCCAGATAATACTCCTTTGTGAGGGGTGAGGTCAGGCCGACTGACAAACGGCCCCAGGAGCAGGAGTTTGTTGCCCGCGTGGGGCCCGAGAAATGAAAACAAAAGCCTTGCTGGGTGTTAAGTATTGCCCATGCAGAGAGGAACTGTATAGTGTTGGCGGGCCAATGACTGTGGAGTACCACAACCCCGGGCTCCTGCAGTGGCGCCACACATCTTATTTTAGGATATGAACTTGGAATGGCCATCATAGGGACTCTTCTGGCTGCCGTCTCTCACGGTCTTGTCACCTCTCCTCCACCCAGTACCGCCTGGTGCCCATCCCCCGTGCTCGCTACGACTTTGCCTGTGCCAGCCTTGTCTTCGTCTGCATCCTGTTTGTCCATCTTCTCGTGATGCCCAGGTCAGTCTGTGGTGGAGAGGAGAGCAAGCCCACTGGGGACCAGCCAGAAGGCTGGTGACCTTGGCAGGACCCAGCAGAAACTGACAGGGTGCTTCATGGCTAACTGGAAGGGACCAGTGACTTCTGCTCTGCATCTCCCCGCCCCTCCCCCCACTGGAGCAGGGGTTATAGCCCCAGAGCTGGAGTTACTGGCCCTTCCTTGTGACTGGGAGCAAAACTGACCCAGACTCCCACCTGCTGCTGAGTCCTGTTGTCTGTGTGGTCTAGCCTCTGGAGACAGTGGACACTGTCATTTTTCCTTTTCACGTGGATAGGTGAGATTTACAGAGATCGTGGCACCCAGCCTGGACCCAAGAACCCTGAGATTCTACTTCATGTTCTGGGGTCCTGCTGGCATGGACAGAGATGAGAGGCCAGGAGGACCAAAGCTTAGTCACAGATAGCTTCCAGAAGGCAGTTAAAGCATGACTGGCCTTGTGTTTGTGGATGTGTTTGACAGACTACACAGGGCTAGTGAGATGACTCAGCAGATAAAGGCACCTGCCAGCAAGCCTGACAGCTCGAGTTTGATCCCTGCTGACTCCAGAGTTATTCTCTAACCTCCACATGCATGTTATGACATGTAGGTGTCTCTCTCTCTCTCTCTCTCTCTCTCTCTCTCTCTCTCTCTCTCTCTCTCTCTCACACACACACACACACACACACACACACACACACACACACACACACACACGAGCTAAATACCACGTATGGTGACCCAGGCCTGTGGTTCCACAGCACTCAGTGGCAGAGACATGAGGATCGCTACAAGTTTGAGACCACACTGGTCTATATAGTAAGTTCCAGGTCAGCCAGAGCTGTAAGACCCTGTATCAAAACCAAACTAAGGCCAGATGGTGGTGGCGCATGCCTTTAATCTCAGAACTCCAGAGGCAGAAGCAGGCAGATCTCTGTGAGTTCGAGGCCAGCCTGGCCTACAGAGTGAGTTCTAGGACAGCTAGGGCTACAGAGAGAAATCCTGTCTTGAAAAATCAAAACAAGAAGACCGAAAGCAAACAAACCAAGCTAAATAAAAATACATGAATGCTTAAATGTCTCTTTATTGTAGTCAGGTGGTGGCACACACCTTTAATCCCAGCACTCAGAAGGCAGAGGCAGGCGGATCTCTGTTGAATTCAAGGCCAGCCTGGTCTACAGAGGAAGTTTCAGAACAGGCTCTAAAGCTGTAGAGAAACCCTGTCTTGAAAAACCAAAAAAATATTTTTTTTAATTGTGTTTTTTTGAGTTTTGCCTACATGTATGCATTTGTACAACATGTGCTTGGTGCCCGAGGCTGTGAGATGAAGATGTCTGAACCCCTGGATTGGAGTTATAGGTGGTGGGGAACCGCCATGTGGATGCTGGGAATTGAACCTGTATCCTTTCGCAAGACCACAAGTGTTCCTAACTCCCAAGCCATCTCTCTAGCCCCCTATACAGCTGCTTTCGTGTTTTCATGGCAGACAAGGTTCTAGAGGCTCACGATGTGCTCACCTCTTATAAACTTGGACTCCAGGGGGACCTGATGACAACCTTGATCTTTGATTATTGTTTGTGGGACATTTGGAGTCATTCTTCAAGGTCTCCTTTGCTGGGTGCAGAATATCCATTGGGGAGGGACAGGTTGACTGTGAACTGGAGAACGGACTGGTGGAGGGAACCTGGACTCAACGTTTTCCCTCCTTTCCAGGATGGCCACTCTGGGTGTGTCCTTTGGACTTGTGGCCTGCCTGCTGGGGCTGGTGCTAAGTCTCTGCTTCGCTACTGAGCTCTCGGTGAGTGGATCTCTGAATCCAGTGCATTTGTTCTCATCCCTGTGGCTTCTCCCTCACCAGCAGTTGGGCAATGGTTGCGTGCCCATCTTACCCCAGGAGAACTGAGTCCCTGCAGACTGCTCCCAAGTCCTTAGCCTCCCAGGCTGGTTAGGGCCATCCACCCTCCTGAGTAGGGCTGTCCTTCATCACAGCTGCTGTTTGCATGCCTTGTCCTCTCCATAGAGGTGCCTTCCAGCCCGAGGTACACTCCAGGCCATCTCGGAGAGTGTGGAGACGCAGCCCCTGCTCAGGCTGTCCCTGGTCGTGCTGACTGTTGGCAGCCTACTGACTGTTGCTATCATCAACATGGTGAGTTATGGGATCAGGCCAGGGGAACGTGTAGGTGGAGACTGCTCATTCGTTTCCTGATTGCTCAGACCCGAATAATCCACAGAAACTATATTAATCACAGCACTGCTTGGCCAATAGCTTAGGCATATTCCTAGCTAGCTAAGTTAAACCAATTCTATTCTGTGTATTGCCATGAGGCCGTGGCTTACCAGGTAAGGTTCGGAGTCTGTCTCCTTTGGCAGCTACGTGTTCTCTCCCTGACTCCACCTTCTTTTCTCCTCTATCTCTGCTTGCAATTCCTGCCTTGCTCTATTCTGCCCTGCCATAGGCCCAAAGTAGCTTCTTTATTTACCAATGGTAATAAAACCTATTCACAGCATACAGAGGGGAATCCCACATCAGGAAAGGAACCATCTTAGACCTGGGGCACCCAGATTCTAGAATCCCACTCTTGTTGCTTGAGCAGTTCCATCTGGGGTGACCCCTCCATAGCTCTGCAGTGCTCTGTGGGGTCCCCAGGCCAGGTTTAGAGCTCTTCACCCCTTCAAGGGAGGGCTTGAGGCACCCAGAAACGCTACAGATACGTGCTGACTGCCAGCTCCTCCTCCTCACTCTTTTGGACTCTTTCCTTAGCAAGGGATAAGACTTGCCCTCTGGTCCAAGTCCCATGTGGGTAGTTGCCAAGCAGCCTGTAGGAACCCACAGCCCTGCCTTACGCTAGCTCTTTCCTTTAGAAAAGAGGCTCCTCCACACTGTTCCTACACTGTAGGCTGCTGTTTTGGGAGTGCACTCTCATGCCTTTCTGAGTCCAGGATCAGGGGGCTCTTGAGGGGCCAGTCCTAGCCTTTTCTCATGCTTTCCCTGGGCTGCTGCTCTCAACACGTCCTGTTCTGGGCTCTCCCCACCCCAGGTACTTCATACCTGGAGGGTGCTGTGGACACAGCCGCTTGCTGGGCTCAGCTGAGAGCCTAGCACCCAGCATCAGGGCACCTTTGGTTCCTACAGTTGTCACCCGCCTTGGGCCTGGCAGCTCTTCATCCGTGGATCTACTCTAATGGCAACCTGTCTCCCCTCAGCCACTGATGCTTAACCCAGGCCCAGGGCAGCCTGGAAGCAACGAGACGAGTCCGCTGGCTGCAAGAACTGGAGTTGGGACCCTGTGTGAGCTCCTCCCGGTGAGTATGCTCATCCTGGCTCCCGGCACCACCCAGCCCCTGGCCAGGCCTCTCGTGCTGCTGGACCACTCTGGCCAGAGCACAGCTCATGGTTTGAAGGTCTGAATCTTAAGGCCTTGGAGAGGAAGAAGAAACCCAGTGTCTCCCAGTCTAAGTGGAGAAGGCCAGGTTCAGGCAGCCAAGACTGTTTCCTGCCTACTACCCCAGTGCCAGGGAAACAGAATACTGGGTTACTGCTTCTTGATGTAAGCCTTGGGGTGGGCAGGGACTGCAGGCCAGCATCAGTTGCACTAGAGGGTGTCTTTGGGTCATTCTCCCTGTGCAGTCAGAATCTCTGCATCAGAGGTTAATTGAAGCCTTAAAGGAATAAAGGGCTGGGCCCAGGACAGCGGACATAAACCTGGAGAGGCCCAAGTCAAGAGTAGAGGTCATGAGACGTGGGGAGACTAGGGCTGACCTTACACCAGTGCTATGCAGTGCCCTTGCTGATCTGCTGAAAAGGGAAGCTGAGGACCAAGGATGGTACAGACGCCCGGCCATGGAGCTCCTCAGCAGGAGGGGACTGTTCCAGGCATGCCTCCTGGTGACTGACACAGGACATTGTCCCCACCTGCAGTACTACACCTGCAGCTGCATCCTGGGCTTCATTTCGTGCTCCGTCTTCCTGCGGATAAGCCTGGAAGTGAAGGCCATGCTGCTGACAGTGGCCTTGGTGGCTTACCTGCTGCTCTTCAACCTCTCCCCGTGCTGGCACGTCCCAGGCAACAGCACCGACACCAACAGCACACATAGGTGGGGCCCTACTTGCTGGTGTCTCTGTAGCCCACTACTGTAAGTTGGTTTGTTTCAACCTAGCGCTTGGCCAGAGCATGGCGCATCTCTGTCCATGGTACTAATGAACCATACTGTGGACAAATGGATTTCTGCTTTCCAGAGGCACCGTGACTGGTCCAGGCTCCAGGTCTCCAGCAGTGAGCTGGGTGTATGGCTTACTAATAGGCTCTTGGGGGAGGTCCTGGCAATTAGGCTTCTCCTCTTTCTGGGCCTGTCGCAGTGTGAGATGGGAGCCATGAGCCAGTTAAGTCCGACCTGTGGCCAGATCACCAGTGTCAGAAGTGGAGATGCCTGGTGTCTTCTGGGTAGTGCACACTCCTGTGGGTTGAAGAGCGCCCTGCAGCCTTCAAGGTTTTGGCTTTGGATTGAGGACCTAGAAAAATTGTCTGCCTTACTCTGGCCAGGTCCTTATGCTAATCCACAGCCGCCGTTGCGGCTCCTCACTCAGCAGATGGGCCTTTTGGAGCGATCCACAAGTCCCCCTTAAGTTCAAGAGCAACTGTTCACTCCCTACCCCCTTTAGGACACCTCCACCCCTGCCTGCTGCACGAAGCATGCACAACCACACCCTTGCTCCAGGGGCTCAGGTGACAGCCCCCTTCCCCAGCAGATGCTTAGAGAGAGACCTGAAGACCATGATCAACTTCTACCTGGTCCTGTTCTATGCCACCCTCATCTTGCTGTCTAGACAGGTGTGTAGACTCCTTGTCCAGCTTCTGCTGAGCAGACTGTCGGTGCAGAGAGCAGGGTCTGAGAACCAGCACGGCAGAGGCCTGCCATGGAGGTGCTGGTCTTGTTCTGCACAGGGCTGAGCAGGGTGGGTAGCACTTGTAGGTAGGCTGGTCCAGTACCCTAGATCCCAGCCCTGGGTGGTGTCAGGTGTGACAGCTGTGGCACTGGCTCCCTGGTTTGCAGATTGACTATTACTGCCGCTTGGACTGTCTGTGGAAGAAGAAGTTCAAGAAGGAACATGAGGAGTTTGAAACAATGGAGAATGTGAACCGCCTCCTCCTAGAAAATGTGCTGCCAGCGCATGTGGCTGCCCACTTCATTGGAGACAAGGCAGCTGAGGTGTGTGAAGGCGGGGTGCTCTAGGAGTCTGTGGGCAGACTGGGCTACTCAGCAGTACCCCTGGGGCATGCTAGATGCAAAGGCAGGCTTGCAGTCAAGTCAGGGCTCTATGTCCACCAGGGGCTGTGGGTAACATGCCTCCCTGGCCTTGACTTCCACCCTGGGGAACAGATTATGAGGGTCAAACATACTGAGTTGTCTGTCATCTAGATGTTCTGTATCGTTAAGAATCTGTACTTCCATGAGGTGCAGAGCCTTTCTGTCACAGGAAACAGGTCCAGAGACAGCTCACTGTAAGGTCACCTCCTGACTGGATTCCTGCCTTAGCTGCATTCAAGTTGTCACAGCTCACACAGCCAACCGGCTTGGCCTGGCCCTCCCCACCAGCACCTGAGCCCCTGAGCCCCTGGGTCAGTGGTCTTAGGGTCCTGTTTCTCTCCTGCCCTGCTGCAGGACTGGTACCATCAGTCTTATGACTGTGTCTGTGTCATGTTTGCATCCGTTCCGGACTTCAAAGTGTTCTACACTGAGTGTGATGTCAACAAAGAAGGGTTGGAGTGCCTGCGCCTGTTGAATGAGATCATTGCTGATTTTGACGAGGTACAACCTGGCTAGTATGCACAGGGGTTGGGGTGTACAGCCTGTCACCTTTGTAGTGGCAAGGCAGGGTGGAGATGTAAGCTTAACTATGAGAGGCCCTGGCTCGATCCTTAGTCCTGTAAGAGAAAACAGTAGTCAAACAAAACACGAGGTCAACGGGCTGAAACTATATACATTAAATATCGAGACACATTTTCTTTAATCAAGTAAGGAAACATTTATTAAATCTCTACTGGACAGGTGCCAACAGGTTAGGTCCTTCCAGAAAAACTCTGACCCAGGCTGGTTTGTGGAGGACACTCACCCACCTCTGAGAAAATTATGCTGGGTAGGTTGCTCTTAGAAGGATCAGAGTGCAGAGAAGGGAAGGGATGAGGTGATGGAGCTGTGTCCTCACCTGCAGTCATGAGCACAGATGGACAACGATATACACGAGACGTGTTTGCACTGCACATCAGGGGAAGGTGGGTCCTCTCTTCCTTTTCTCAGCACCAAGGCTACAGTGGCTTCTTTTTGTTGTGTAGCTGCTGCTGAAGCCCAAGTTCAGTGGTGTGGAGAAGATCAAGACCATTGGCAGCACCTACATGGCCGCAGCAGGGCTCAGTGTCCCCTCAGGACACGAGAACCAGGTACTCCAGGCCTGTATCCCTAGTCCTAGCACCTTACTAAAGGGTGTGTTGGGGATCTCTGGTGGGAACAGGAACCCTATCCCCACGGGATGTGTGTGCCCTCAGTTAAGGCTGTAGAGTAGGTATGCCATCCATGTCCTGCAGGACCTAGAGCGGAAGCACGTGCACATCGGTGTCTTGGTGGAATTCAGCATGGCCCTGATGAGCAAGCTGGACGGAATCAACAGGCACTCCTTCAATTCCTTTCGCCTTCGAGTTGGTGAGGCTTACAAACGGGCAGATTAGCCTTGTGCATACCCTCTTGATTGGAGGGTGTCATGGGCCCTCTGCTATGAGGTTCCAGCAGACCTTCTGGTGTTAACATTGACCTCCCTTGCATATGCTCATGAAAAATGTGTATTTGTGCATGGGTGCATGTATGTATGGAGGCCAGAGGTCAACCTCGGCAGCTGACTATCCTATTTCCTGACTGTCTCCCTGGGATCTGGGATTTGCTAATGAGGTGAGGCTGGCTGGCCCACCAGTGACTCGAGATCTGCCTGTGTCCACATCCCCAACATGAGGATTACAGGTGTCATCACTCTCTCTACACGGGGTGCTGGGGATCCAACTCACGTCCCCAATGTTTGTGTGACAAACTGAGCTATCTCTTCGACCTCTTTTTATTAGTAAATTTAAAATTACATTTAGTGTGTGACACACCACAGTGCACATGTGAAGATCAGAGATAACTTAGAAGAGCTGGTTCTCTTTCCACTGTGTGGGTTCTGGGAATTCAACTCAGATCACCAGACTTGGTGGCATCTTTACCTGATAAGCCACCTTGGCAGCCACCAACCTTTGAAAAATTTAATAATATATAACTATAAATTCAGAGCCTCTGGGTGGTGGTGGCGCATGCACTGAGTCCCATGACTTGGGAGGCAGAGGCAGGCGGATCTCTGAGTTTGAGGTCAGCCTGGTCTACAAGAGCTAGTTCCAGGACAGGCTTCAAAGCTACAGAGAAAACCCTACCTCGAAAAACAAAACAAACAACAACAACAACAAAAAAGCAGGGCCAAATATCATGGCTGCAAATAATCTTAAAATACAGAAAACAGATTTATTAAGCCTAACCAACCATAATCAGTTTTACAGGTAGGCACTTAAAGCCCATTTATTTGCTGGGCAATGGTGGTGCACGCCTTTGATCCCAGCACTTGGGAGTCCAAGGCAGGTGGATCTCTGTGAGTTCGAGGCCAGCCTGATCTACTAGTTTCAGGACAGCCAGGGCTACACTTTTTAAAAAGAGAAATTAGCAGATACTAGGGAAGAGCTAATGAGTTTAGGAGTATGGACAAGAGACAGTTGGGGCCTTTCATACCACAGGGGCACAACCTACAGAGAACAGTTTCAAGGGAACTTGCACCCGTTGTCCTGTTAGCCTTTCTGTGGGCTCCCTCAGTGTTACTATAAATGGCTAACTGTAAACCATCCTAAGGTATAAACCACGGCCCTGTGATTGCTGGAGTGATTGGAGCACGCAAGCCTCAGTATGACATCTGGGGAAACACAGTCAATGTTGCCAGCCGAATGGAGAGCACTGGAGAGCTTGGGAAAATTCAGGTAAAAGTCCACTGAGAAGCATCCACTTGGGGAAGAGACATGTCCTGAGGAGGTATCCTGCTCTAGGACATGGCCCATCTCTCACTGGGCTGTGTGGCACTGGCCATCACTGTTAGGAATAGACAATAGACAGACACTACTCTTTTTCATTCCAGGTTACAGAAGAGACATGCACCATCCTCCAGGGACTAGGATATTCCTGTGAGTGCCGAGGGCTGATCAACGTCAAAGGCAAAGGAGAGCTGCGGACTTACTTTGTGTGTACAGACACTGCCAAGTTTCAAGGCCTGGGGCTGAACTGAGGTGTCTGGTAGTCTGTCTCCTTTCCTGAGGGAGCCAAGAATGCAGCCCCAATGCCAGCTGCAGATGGCTGTGTGGCTTCTTTGGACTTGCACTACAGGATGGATGGCTCTGACACATGCATCAGATTTTGTTTGAAGCAGCTACGTTGTCCAGAACCTCTGTGCTTCAGTCTGTGCAATTCCCAGCTAGCTAGATCACTGGTCTACTGTGGGCTGTGCTTTTCCCAGGATGTCGGAAGAGACCTTAATGCATGACCAAGCCTGACACCACCTTGGTAGCCAGTGAACAGCATATACCGGGTAAAGAACTCCTGGTTCCAGGAGGCTCAGCCTCCCTCTTCTCATTGGTACCCACCATGGGATGCTAACCTCTCATACAGGCATTCTGGCAAATGGAGTTAAACAGTGGGCATATTGGCAGGTAGTCTCAATTGACTGTCACTCTTTACCACCTCATTTCTGTCTGAAATGGACGTCATTAGTGGAAGTTCTATCTTTGCTACCAACTCTTAGATGCTAGGCAACAATCTCCTTTCTAGTATATTTTCTCTTCTCAGCCACTGACTACATGTAAACAGGACTGCTGTTCAGTGTCAGTTCATAGGATTAGCTTGGCTGTAGGGTGGAGTTCTGAGAGGGGGCTCACACAAGGAGCAGCAAAACCTTGGATCTGTCCAGCATTTTTGGAATAAGTCTACTGGGACAAGGTTCAGGAAGCTGAAAGTCTAGAAATGAGGTGTAATGTTTCAGTTCTTCTGTCTGCACTTTATTTTTTTAGAGACAGAGTCAGCCAAGGCTGGCCTCAACTTTGAACTCTCCTGCCTCAGTTCCTGAGTGTTTCGAATAGATGTGCACTACCATGGCCAGCTTTTTTTTTTTTTTTTCCCGTGGGAAAGCCTGTGTGGAGAGGGCTTAGACAGCCTGTGTACCTCTTGCCCTTTCTCTAGTCTTCTGAGCTGACTGCTGAGCTGCAACTGTGATCTACCTGGCAGGAACATGTGTGAAATTGAGCGCCTAAACAAATGCCAAGTTGCTCTCACTCACGAGTCAAGGCAAATTCAGCTCTGTGTGATGGCATCTTACTGTGCTTTAGCTCCAGAGCACTCAAGCTGAGTGATGACCAACATCCCACTCCTTTTGGAAAGTGACTTCATTGCCACAGAACTTCACTAAGTCATGGCATTCTTAGACGTCACCAAGGAACCTACTAAGCACAGAACATCATGCACACAGGAGTCTGCAAATGATGTATGTGCTGTAGGCAGGGTGCCTGACCAGCCAGGTTTACCTGGGACTTCGGTTCAAGATGAGTAGTCAGGGATGCAGAGGGAAGGGGACAGGACCTACCTACCAGAACTGTGTCCTGTGGAGCTTTATCAGCCCAGGGAAGAGGGGCTGATTCTAGTCTGCACAAAGGAATCCAGCAGTGGTCAGGGCTTCCCAGCAAGGCTCTCCCCTGGGGCTAAGAAGGTTCCTGCAAATGCCACAATGCAGTTCACAGGGAGCAGGAATGAGCCTCCCTGAAGCTGACACACTTCTACTCTTCCAACATCCAATAATTTCCCCCTTCAACAGAAATCCTAGCTTGAGTTTTAAAACAGCTGGCAACTGTTCACCCATCTTCAACTGAAGCACTGGGCTAGGAGTATTAAGTTACTACTGTTCAGGTCTTAGGAGTGTAACTGACAAAACACTTGGGAGTTATGCACATACTTGTTTTTGAATTTCCAAGTAATTTCTTCACAAGTGTCTTATTTTATCTTAGGAACTTTTTTTTTTAAACCCTTCTGTGGTTCAAGGATTCATTTCAGGGATCCACTAAGGTGGCCCTCACTAACTACAGAAAGTAATACCCTGTTCTGGCTTACTGAAGGACACTCCCCGACAAAAGATGATTACTGTGTACTTCATGGATAACAGGTCAGTGCTTTGAGCAGGCGCAGGCAAATAACTATGGTGTGTTCTGTATGTGTACTATTTATAGCTTTACTGTAACATCTGTCTCAATGTTTCAGTTTCAGAAATCAGTGCCTGGCTCTTTTATATGTTCAGCCAATAACTAAAAACCTGAATGTCCTTCAAAAACAAAACAAAAACCTCAATGTCCTAAGGTGTTTTGAATTAAGGTATTTCTGAGTTTTCAGGAACTGACCTGTGGCAAATAGATCTACTGGTGAATTATGGGTTATTGTCTAAATATATATATATATCCGAGGCAAGGTTTCATATAACTCAGACTGTCCTCAAACCTTCCACTCCTAATCTTTCTGTGTCTACTTCTAGAGTGCTAGGATTATAGACATGTGCCACTAAGCCAGTTTTTCTTTTTGTGTACGTATGCATGTTCATGTGTATGCAGGGCTACATCTGTGGAGATCAGAAGACAACCCTGGGTATTGGTCTTCACCTTCTACCTTGAGAAAGGGTTTTTATGTTTTCTCATTGGCTAGCTTCATGCTAGCTGCCCTATGAACGTCCAGGAGTCCTTAATCCCTGGCTTCCATCTTCCTATAGGAGTGCAGATTATAGACATACACACCACTGGATCAGAATGTGGGTTCTGGGGATCCAAACTCAAGTGGTCAAGCTTGCACAAGCACTTTACTCACTGAGCCACACTTCACTTGTAGCTCATTGTGGCCAATTTATGCGGTGCTAGGGGCTCAGAATTGCTAGCCTTCAAGCACTCTACCAACAGACTCATACCCTTCAGCCCCTAAACTCTATTTTAGAGACTAAAATCAAAATCTAAAGACTTGATTAACACTTAAGTTGATTTTTTTATTCTATTAGCATAATAATCTACAAGAGTCACACTATAATTTCTTCTTTCTTTTCTTTTTTTTTTTTTAGATAGTTTCTCTGTGTAGCTGTGGCTGCATGGAACTCACTCTGTAGACCAGGCTGGCCTTGAATTTACAGAGATCCATCTGCTTCTGCCTCCTGAGTACCGGGATTAAAAGCAGGTGTACCACCATTCCTGGCTCCCAGAATTTGAGAGAATCCGCTTTCCTTTACTGTTCTTGTTCTGGCTTAATATTGATTTTAAATCAAGAAAAATGGGTGTATCTTCTGGTCTATATTTTTGCAGACAGGCAAAGAGGTTATGTCTGTTTACTAGACTAGGTTATGTCCACACTGACATTCTATTTATTTTAAAATATGTATGTGTGCATGTGGGTATGTACATACAGTGCCGGTGCTTGCAGAGGCCAGAGGTATGAGGTTCTTTGGAGCTGAAGTTACAGGTGTTTTTGAGCTACCCAATGAGGATGCTGAGTACCTGATTCCAGTCCCCTGAAGAACAGTATGTGCTCTTAACTGCCAAGTCATCTCTCCAGTGCCCACATCTCCACCTTTTTTTTTTTTCCTTTTTGAGGCAGGGTCTCAGTATGTATCCCAACCAGACTCAGATTCATGGCAATCTTTTCTCAGTCCGCCAAGTACTGGGATTGTAAGTATGTGCTACCATACACAGCTTGCTGTTTAAACAGGTTATATCTTGACACAGATTTAGAAAAATCATTCATCTCAGCCCAGTGACGTGTAATAGAAGGGGACATATCTGATGGTTTCCTACTTAAAATCTGCTTGGTCACTTGACCTTTGTTATTTCAGATAAAGGGAAATGGTTCAAGGGCACAGGTGGCCTTGGAGAAACTGAGCAGAAGCAAGCTCTCCTTTAAGTTCTAGACTCTAATGTATCTAAAAGTGGTTTGGTTCATCTTATTTGTGTGTCCTTTTGCTATAGCTCCAAATAACTAAAAAAAAAATACACTAGACATTTTATCACCATGAATCTCCTAGCCCACTGTTTTCTTTTTGTATGTGGGGGCAGATGTAGTACTCAATAACCACAAATGAGGAAACCATTCCCATCAGGTACACAGAGGGCAGAAACATACCAGGAAACTTTAACATTACCTTGAGAGAGTTCACTTTCATGGTATGATGCTAGAAAACCTCACTGGACAGAACTGTGTTTTGTGTTTACAAAGCTGGGTCCTGGGCCAGTGCGATGGTCCAGTGAGTAAAAAGGCATTTTGTCTGGTGACCTAAATTTAATCCCTAGTAACCACAGAAGCAGAAATACAACTCCGAAAAGTTGCCCTCTGACCTCTACACATGCACCATGGCATGCGTGCATGTGCCCGATGTGTATATATCACATATCCAATAGTAGCAGCAGCAATAATAAAGCTGGGTTTGCTCAGTTAAATCAAACAGTGCTAGTGGCAGTCTGAAAGGCTACCAGGATGGCCTGCTCACAAGATTCTTGGAATGTCATTCAGATGAACTCTAAGACAGATCTTACCAGAGCTTGTAATTACCTGCTTGTAATTTTTTAATGAGAGTGGAAAATGTGAAAAATGGGTAATTTATTTTGAGGAGCCACTCCTTTGGAAGATGATCATGAAAAAGGCTAGTGTGTGTTCTAGGCGTCTATCCTTAGGCCCACATCAGACCAAGTCAAAGGGCAACTCGGCTGTCACGCCAGCACTGCACAGTTCCAGGTTCAGTTTTATTTCCTAATATAAGTCCAGTCTCTGGAACACTGAAAGGAACTGTTCCAAAGCTTAATTAAAACACAATTTACAAATAGTTAATATCTTCTGAAAAGCACCTCCAAGTTCAGAATGAAAAAAATATGTACATAATATAACCAAATACCAGGCTAGCTTCAGCTCCCGTCAGGCCCACACTCAGCAGCACAGGTCTCCTTAGGCTCTTCACACTCTGAAGGAGGAAGACAGCACTTAGCATTTTGTCCCAATGGGTTACGAACTAGAAGCTAGTGTTCAGTAGAGGCACTGCTTACCAGCCCTCCATGTCACAGTTACAGCTAGGGAGAAGCCTGGCATTAAGTCATTGCAACAGCTTTTTGACAAAATGTATCAGAGCTATTAATTCTTTAAACAATATGGAAAGAAAACTGAAAGATGAAAACGGAAAGATGCCATGATAAAAACCCATTACTTTGTATGCTAATCTCAAATTACACGAAACAAAATCAAACCAGACAAGGGTTCTTAAGTCATCTTAAAAAGGGACGAGTTTCCTTTTCTTAAAAATCTCCCACCCACAGAAACAGGCACCTACCTTCTGTCAAATCTACGAAGCTGTTTCCCATGACAGGGGAAGGAACAGAAATTCCCATTGCTTTACGGACTCCATGTATGCTCACAACATCACCCGGGGTCACTTGCTGTGTGAGTTCTTTAAGGTTATTGGTCACTTGTTCAGCTAGGAAAAATGGGGAGAAAAAGCTCAAGGTACCAAAGTGGTTCCTTTAGAGTTTTGTTTGCACCCCCTACCCCAGACAGGATTTCTCTGTGTAGCCTGGTTGTCCTGGAACTCACTCTGTAGACCAGGCTGGCCTCGAACTCTGATCCTCCTGTCTCTGCCTCCTGAGTGCTGGGTTTAAAGGTATGTGCACCAAGGCCTGGCCTTTTAGAAAATTTTTAAAGAGTCTTGCTATGTAGCTATTGCTGGCCTTGGATTCACAGAAATCCTTCTGCCTTAGCACCCCAAGGGGTGGAATTTTAAGTGTATGCCACCTAGACGTGTGCATGCATGACATCTAAAAGTCAATGTGAGTTCTCGTCTTCAGTTACTGTCCATCTTATTTTTTGAGACATGGTCTCTCACTGAACCTTAAGCACACTGGCTTGGCTGGACTGGTCAGTGAGCTCCAGGGATCTGCCTATTTCCACCTCTTATTAAGGCTGGATGCATGCCACTGCACCTTCACGTGCTGGGAATCTGAACTCAGGTCAAAGCGTTTTCGCGGCAAACACTTTGCCGAATGAACCATCTACCTAACCCCTGGTAATTAAAAAAAAAAAACAAAACCCTAAAGAACTATAAATGTATAAATGCAGAACTACTCCAAGGTGTGGCAGGCACTGCAGTTACTTTCCAGTCTGGCCACCTGCTGGAAGCCTTTCTTTCAAACACCCAGCCCTGCTCTCCTTCCCATCCCTGGGACAAACATACCAAGGTATATTTCTCTGTAAGAAGGACCCAAGAGACAGATCATATTGGGAGGAGGTCTGGTGCTCAGCCGCTCGTTCTGTGCCTCCTGGAGTTCCCTGAGCAATCTTGTAGTCTCATCAAGCTTCCTCTGGAACACCTCAGCCTCTGTGTGGTAAGAAGACAATACTGAAGAAAACAACGCAGCCTGTGTTTGAGTTATGGTCCCAGGCTCTGCTATGGTTAGCTTCTACTCCAATTGAGACTAACAGTTCAGCTACTCTCTACTAGTCTCTAAACCGGGTTGGCCCAGATTTTTCTATAGTAAGCATTAGATTAATTAGCGTTGACGTGACAGCAAGTCTAACTGCCTGTGCTGGACACTTTCCAGCAACCTGTGGTCTCAGACACTCACCTTCAGAGTCAAAGACTTCAGCCGGAGCACCAAAGTTTGTTACTGCTTGTAGTGCTGTGAGCCTGTCCTGACTGCTGGACTCCAAACGCACTGTTGGCTCTATTTGGGCAATCTGCTTCAACAGGGGGGAAAAAAGTTAATTATTTGAGCTTGCGAAACCGTGACAGTGCCAAGGAAAAGTCAGTACGATGGCTTGTGCTTACAAGCAAAGTCATTCCACCTAGTCACCTTACAGTCATAATTTTGATTATGTCTCCCAAGAACTCTTTTAGAAATGTTCTCAAATCCTGGCCAAAAAAGTGTCCATAAATCCACACTTCTTTGTAATGACACGACAGCTTATGAAATCTGCATAATTTGTTTCATATGCCAACTACTCTGATGACAAAGTTCTAAAAGCTTGTTACTGTCTGAACCGTTAAGTGCTTTTAGTGACTATGGTAATGCCTGTTTCAAAGGTAGTGTTTCAGTACATCTACAGCTTCAGCAGTTCCTTGGATCTTCCTCAAGCCCCAAGGCTACGCCATCAGTATTGCACAAGAGAACAAAGTCATAAGAGAATTTTATTTTTGGAATAAGACTCAGAATTTCCATAATTTCAACACAACTTTTTAAGAATTTATCAATCTGCTGGGCGGTGGTGGCGCATGCCTTTAATCCCAGCACTTGGGAGGGAGAGGTAGCTGGATCTCAGTGAGTTCGAGGCCAGCCTATCTACAAATTGAGTTCCAGGACAGTCAGTTACAGAGAAACCCTGTTCTGAAAAACCAACCAACCAAAAACCAAACAACTACCCCCTCCCAAATACACCCCTCCCAAATGCATCATTTCAATTGATAAGAACCAAGAGTTCCATTTTTACTTGGGTACTAACTGCGCTCCAAGTGCAGTCAGTCTGAGCACCTGGCAGCCCACACATGGGCTGAAGAGTGTGCAGTACAGGAAAAATATGTACACTGATTTACCATTTCAGCCTGGCCCACACAACCCTACTCAATGGTCTTTTTCTTAGTCCATTTCCTTTCCTATTCTTTCACTAAACACAAGACCATGTTGGCTCCTCTATCCACATGAAGACGGCATGGCTACTTAAGTACCATCTCCTTTATTTGGACCTCATATCGCAAGTTTTCCTTCCTTCAGTTAAAGCTTGGTGTGAGTCTGTTTAATCTTAAAACACCTCTATACAGCTCAGTGTCCTCAAGTTGTGTGACCTACCAAGGTCTATCCTTTGCCTCTACTATTTTACTGAGATGCTCTGATGATGGATGACATCAGTGATGAATGACACTTGTAAGGGCCCTTCATTGGGCTTATCTATCCTATCTTGCTGAACCTGCTCCATTTCTGCTAACCATCCTTTCATGGGATTCATATATTATTCAACTTTGAACTTCTCCAAGGTTCTATTCTTCAGCCTTTTTCATGCTCTCCCTGAAGAGTCTCAAGTGATTGGCTGAAAATTTTGAATCACTCCTGTCAGAGATTCACACCATAGCCCAGACTTTGGACTTCCTGGCTTATACTTCCAGCAATGTCCCCAAATTCACTTGGCAAAACAGAAACTCTTGGGGCCTTTTCTCTCAAAAGTTCTTTTCCCTGCATGTCCTACATGAGCTGCTAATCACCTATCTCACCAGGTCCTGTCAGTCTATTATTATGTCTCTCTTTTGTATAGCTGAGGAATCTTCTGGTGCATTTCCCAAATTCAGATTATCTTCCTTTATGTTGAACACACACACTTATATAGTTTAAGACAACTCCCACAAGCCTCTTCAAACAAACAAAAAACTGGGGTCTCTACATAGCCCTATAGTTCTGGGACTTGCTATATAGACCAGACTGGCCTTGAACTCAAGACTTCAGCTTGCCTCGGCCTCCTCAGTTTTGGCATTAAAGGTGTGCATCACTATGCCAGCAAGTCTGAGAGCTTTTAAATGATCCCTCTCTTTATAATTTACCACAGTAGCCCACCTTTTATCTTTTAGGAGAAAATCTCAGCTTTTTATTTTAGCACTGCACAGGGAACATCACTGGGTTCCCACCTACATAGTCTCACTACATGTCTTCCTCTTCCTTGGGACCTTGATTCACCTGCCTCCTGAGCTTATGTCCTCTATGCTGGGAGAATGAATACCTCTTCATCTTCCAGCCCTGTTCTTGCGCCTGAGAGCATGAGCTCCCCAACCCCAAGGGTGCATGCTGGGCAGTTATACTGTGGTAATGGCTTTGAGTTCCCTTCTTTAAATTTTGTCTATGACATGAGCACTTCTGAACTTTCCAAATTACTGCTTTCACTCCAGATGATACTCAATACATTTTTATAAAATAATCATTGTATGTGTGTTTATACATGCCATGGCATAGAATGGTGTTCTGGAAGTTAGAAGAGTTTTTGTGGAGTCATTTCTCTTCTTCCACATTTATATAAATTCCAAGGATTGAACTCCATCCCCAGGCTTGTATGACAAGCATCTACCTGGTGAGCCATCTCACCAGTTCCAAGTAATATTGTCACCTTAAAATAAATAAATCCCAATCATCTTAACTTAAGTACCTCTGCTTCTCTTGCTGTGTCCAGTGGTCTGGTCTGGCCTTCATCTTCAGATGAGGACTGTATGGATAAAGGAAAAACTGTTTTTATGCAAGCAGTAAATGCAAATATCAAGCTAAATAGAAAACATAACTTTGTGGCAAGAGAAAAGTATACCACTTATACACATAATATAGTATACTTAAAATATTTTAAGTCATTTATTTTAATTTTATGTGCATTTGTGTTTTGCCTGAATGTATGTCAGTGTGAGGTGTTGAATCACTTGGAGCTCGAGTTACAAGTAGTTGTGAGCTGCCATATGGGTGCTGGGAATTGAACCTGAGTTCTCTGGAACAGTAGCCAGAGCTCACTGAATCATCTCTCCAGCTCCAAGAATATATATTTTTAAATCAAAATTAATTAATATAATAA